CAGGGAGGCAGCAAACCAACATTCCAAAGCCAGATATATATCTTTGAACATCCAGCTGGCTAGCAAAAAAACATGAACAGCAAACCAACACTAATAAACTTAGATTTACAAGTTAGTCCAGCAGAACTCAGATCAGTATTCCAATACTTAGACTTGTGAGTTATCTTTTAGCCCAGCCCGCCCACAATAAGACGATTGCAGGTACAGGGAAATGAGGTCAGCACATTCCCCAGAGGAGGTTACTTGCTCCTCATGGAGTAACACTGCAGAGCCATGGTCACCAAGTCCGAGTATCTGCCCTCTGCTAGTAAGGCTCAAAGAGGTTAGCAGTCACCCTTAACAGTCAGATGAGAGGCTGATAAGTAAATTAGAATGCCAGTTAACTACATTACAATGAGCATTATAACAAGTCTTCAGAGTCTACTTGAAATCCCCTGACCAACGAATTCTATCCCTGTAGGCAAACCTACCTAAGAAACCAAATGGTAATCAGAAGCCGGCTTAGTAAACATGAAACTGAAACAAAGCAGGACCCTGTGCACATCCTTCCTGGTTTCAAATCCTTTCTGTTCCCTGTTTCTCTTTTGCAGAAAATAGGCTTCATTCAGCCTCCTTGATCTTCCCAGAGTTCCACTGGGCAGATTCAAACAATCGCTAATCAGGGAACGGAGGGGTACAGAACCAGGGAGGAAAAGCCAAGAAACAATAGTGCAGCCTTGGGGCAGGGTCCTGGTTCCTCCTTAAGCAATACACATCTTTGAGCCCTCTGCAGGAACTAAGGCCCCCACCCAGGTGGAGGATGGTAACCTTCAGTCTGAGCCTGGGATTCCTGGAACACCACCCTGTGACTTCACCACCAACCAGCTGAAGACAGTCACACACCCTGCAGCTCTCACCTCAAATTCTGCCTATAAAAACTTTTCCCCAAAAACCATCAGGGAGTTTGGGTTTTTTGAGCACAAGCTGCCAGTCTTCCTTGCTCTGCCCTGCAATAAAGCTTTCTCTGCTCCAAACTCCGACGTTTCAGTTTGTTTGGGCTCACTGTACATCAGGCACATGAGCTTTTGTTTGGAAACAAAATCTGGTCAATGGTAGGTGAGTATTATGGGAGATGTGGACTTGAGAAAGATAAGGTATACTGCGAAGGAAACTCAGAGAGGTAGAAAGCCAGCCAGTGTACAGGGAAACCTCTGAAGGCTTGGGGAAAGATTTTCAAGAAGACGGAGGTCAGCACTGGTAAACACTGTGCAAGATGAAACAAGGTAGAAACAAACAAACCCCCCAAATAAATAAAAGAGTCTTTAGGGTTTGTCCCTTAGAAAGCAACTGACAACAGACTCAAAGGGATACTGGGGCTGGAACCAAATTATAATGGGCTGCAGAGAATGGCCCTTAAAATGACAAGAAAGCAGTTATGGGACATGCTTTGAAAACCCTGCTAGTGGAGGGAAATGATAACACATGGAGGGACGGGGTCTATGAGGGTTTCTTTAGAAGGAGACCTCAGCCATACCAATATTTTGGAGTGTATAAATAACATAGAACATGGGAAACCGTGAAATAAGAACCAGCATTAATGAAATCAAGACCACCAACGGAGGCATTACTAGTCAGCCTCAGACATCAGAAGAGATATCTCCTCTAGGTTAAAAGGAAACGAGATGCTAGAACAGACACAGGTAAATTGGTATGGGTGGAGATATAATTCTACAAGGGGTACACCTCTCTTGACAAGCACTTTTTTTTTTCTATATGGA